CACCCCACCGTAATGGGGTAAATCGTCGTACTGCATGACAGACAAAGAAAAAAAAAAGGATCAGCTGAAAGCGCCGCGGGTCCGGTTCGAACGGGGAAAGCCGTTCCAGAATCTTTCACTTAGGGAAGGGTCAGCGCATGGAAATGGACAGTGTTCACTCTATGAATTTAAAATAAACAGGACCAAACAAGCGGGGAGGGGGAGAGTGCAGAGATCTGTAAAAATACAGTTCCCCAGTAGGCCCTCAAAATGGATTAATTCTGGGTCCTTGAAAAGCATCCTTGTGGAGGGAAGTAGGTAAAAGCAGCAGCGTAGGTGCTTTGGAGTGACGCTCAAAATAAACACGTTGCTGAAAAGTTGCCTACTTCAATATGTCGCCACAGTGCTCCACTTGGGACAAGCAAGGTGAACCTCATGTTGAACTGGTTCACTTGGGTGCATTTCTATGGTGGATTCTGGCTATTTCTCAACTACTAGTCTAATGAACGATGAACGACTGTATCAGCCAATGAACGACTGTATCAGCTGGGAACGGTAAGATATCCCGAGCCACAAGTGCTGCATGGACAGGAGAGACTGGCAAGAGGCTGCTATATGCCAGTTTTTCTGTGTCAGCCTTGAATGCTGCAATACTTTTGTACATAGCAGCTCCCTGCAGCCCAGCCCAACCCTGAGTAACTCTTAAGTGATTCTATAGTGTGTATGAATGGCTGAAGGAAGAAACTTCAATTCAGCTTGATGATTTTTAAGACTGCTTTCTATGCATTTACATGAAAGATTTCCCTCAATGATGCTCATGTGATTTACCTAAAACAACCTGCATAACTATATCCGATAACAGGGCTACTCAACTTTGGAAGCCCTGGGGGCCACAATGATACAGTACATGCTGAGGGCCGCAATTTAAGTGTGGTTGCACATACATGCAAATAAATATGCTTCTTTCACACTGATGGGCATGAATACAAAGTACTTCCCACAATGCTTTGGCGCTCCCGACACCTCCTTCCTGGGGGCTAGAAACGCTGACACTCTGTACCCAGCCAGCCTGCCCGCTTGCATCTTTCAATGTTCACCCCACCTGGAAGACTCCTCGCTGTTGTGGAGCATGTTCTCAGTGGAGGCCATGTTCAAAGGATCCCACCCACAGGCCGCACGTTATGCTGCACATAAACCCAAACTGCACAGTGGGCCGCATGTGGCCCGTGGGCCATGTGTTGAGTAGCCCTGTCCTATAAGGTTTAATAAGGCAGAAATCTTTATGTTTCCTGTAACATTTACTGTTTATATAGCAAGTACATATATCAGTGCTATGGGACTTTTATACGTGGTTTATAAAATGATATAATGTATATCTTAGACGTTTTAGAGCATACTTCACAACAGCATCTAAGTGCTAATTATATATAAATATAAATAAAAATACACATACACACACATATGCCAGGTGTGTGGAAGTGATGTGAGAGATTGAAGAGGCATGAGACACGTCTCTCTCTCCTGTGACTGCCTCTCCTACACTCTGCCCATTTTCCATCCCATCCATAAATAATTCTAATAATTCAGTGTTTACATAGCACCTGTTTTGTTGATAATTGCTAGATATTCTTCTTTCTCTTTCCAAATGTGAAATTCCTCTCAGAATCGTAACTGTCTGTCAGCCAGGATTTGGTCCTGAATCAAGGACAAGATTTTCCATACAAGAAATGTCATTGCTTTGAAGTCTCAAGCCTCTACAGGGCTAGAAAAAGGAGCTTTAACCAACGAGAAGTATAAAGTCCCAGTTTCCCAATAGGGCACAAATCTTTTGCTTCTAACCCTAGAAGGTTCCAATACACCAGCCTTTAAAGTAGATGCATTTTAAATGCATAAGAAAGCTGTGTTAGGTCATTTTTGCAAGGTTGTTTTGGTAGTTAGACTGACCTGCATAAACTCAGAGATGGCTTCATCATTCATAAGTAATGCAACCAATAGAACCTTATGCCACCACCAGGTATTTCAAGCATATCAGTGAATGACACAATACTAATGACCCTTCCTCCAACAGACAAATTCTGTCTTCCATGGGTCTGTTAAAGATTTCTCATATTGTTTCCAATCACATTTTATTTGACCTTTAATCAAATATTAATATGTACTAAGCAACACATGTTAATTAAATCCTTGGACAGGCAGTTATGATACGTTTCATTGTACTGAAAGAGTTTCCTTCCCTTGACACTGTTAGACTACTAAAGGGACCATTTGGAAATGTAACCAGAAGCCTGCCTGTGATCCTTACTCATCCACTGACTTCAACAGGAGTCCTATGTGAGAAAAGGCCGATGAATCAGGCACCCAAGTGTTTTCCCCTCCCACGTTGTAGTGAACACAAGTTATAATCTCAGCACGGCCATCACATTTAATTGGTGTAATGATTCTTGAACAGTAAGAGTGGCCAGCGATAACTGGAAACCTGTGAAGATCTGAAGGCTGTCAGGGACTAACAAGTTGGGAAACGGAACACCTGTCAAAAGCAACTGCACATTGGTAAAGGCCCATCTCTGGGCTTGCCCTATGAGCCTCATGGCCATGCACTCACCTGTGTGTACAAACATGTGCTTGACGTAGTTCTGTTTGGCGGTGAAAGTCTTGTTGCAGAGAGTGCACTCGTAAGGCTTTTTTTCACCCTGCCCACCTGCTGTGCTGTGGCCCGCAGATGGGGCCAAGGGCTGTGGGGCTGGCAGCTGGGCAGTAAAGGTTGACAGGCCAGGCTGGGACACTGTCACAAACTGTGTCTGTTGGCCAGCTAAGGGCTGGGGCAGGCTGAAAAGGAAAGGTTTAGGTCCGCTGCCAGCAGATTGTGTGGTAAAGAGGGCAGGCAGGTAAGTGTTGCCAGCTGTGCCAATGACCTGTGTGTTGCTGGTCAGGGTCAGTGGCATCCTCAGATTGCTGGTGAGGGTTTCTGTCTGGCGTAAGTAGAGCTGGGTGCTTGGCAATGGTTGGGCGACTGTTGTGTTGACAGAAGGCTGCAAGGCCCCCTTTTCGTTGCTGTTATTGACAGTGATCACTTTGCTGTCCATTTCAATGTCATTGCTCCTCTCCGGCGAGGAAGTGTTGGCATCTAGGTGCTGCGGCTGGGGGGGCAGGGCTTCAGGGGGGACTTCATTTTGCTCTGCTTGGGAAGGTTCCTGCCTACTGACCCTCTCGACCCAGGCCAGCCATGAATTGCTGCTCCACCAAGTCAGGCTCGGTCCCAATGGAGGAACTGACTCCAGAGTCAAAACTTTCCCCCTTGGGCTCACTCTCAGTGCCTTCCGCTTGGTCAGTGTCCTCATTGCATTCCTCAGACTCATTACGCTCCAGGATCTGCACCCTCTGCTGGCCATAGTAGTCATAGTCATCCTCCATCTCCTGCTTGATGTGGATGTTGCCCACTAGGGTCTGGATCCGGACGGGGCGTGGCTGCTTGCGGCAGTGTGTGGTCTCTGGAGTCGTGGAGAGGTACCGCTCCATCTGCTGTGAGCGCTCGTGGATCCGTGTAATCCAACTGGGGTCTTCCATGTGATGGTCTCTGGGGAGCCCCAGGGCCGTTTCGTGGTGACTGACCACTGCCCCACTGTAGAAGGAGCGCTCCCCACTGCCATTCTGCATGGAACAGGCATAGAGAGCTGAGTAAATCCTGTCCACGCTGTGCTGAGAGTGGCTCTGCAGGTAGCCAGACTCCGTGTCGCTGCTCTGCCCTGAGGTGCCCGATTCGGGGGTCCCCCTGGGCGTCTCCTGCCCAGAGTCCTGAATCACTGGGTAGACCTCCCCCACATTCTGCGAGACGATCCTTGTGCATTCATCAATCACAGTCTTGATCTGCAGGATGCTGGCAGCTGTGAGGATCTGCAGAGCCTCTGACTGTGAGACCCGCAGCACCCCACTGTACATGAAGTCAATGAGCTTTTGCACAGACTGGACTGATACCACTGAGGGGATCTCGATGTCGCTGTACCCCAGCAGCAGCTTGTCCTGGAAGAAGGGGCTGCCAGCCGCCAGCACGCAGCGGTGGGCACGTAGCATGCTCCCGTGGATGCGGACCGTCACGTCACAGAAGTGGCCACGGTTGCGCTGCTCGTTGAGGGTCTCGAGCACAGAATTGCTGAAATTGTGAAGGTTGATGCTGTGAATGCGCTCTGTCATCCCCTTGCAACTGATGTTACCTGTAGCAAAGGATGAGACAAAACACAAGGTCAGATCGGAGCTTGACTTCTGCATGTCCACAGCTGAGATGCTGGCTAAAACATATGTCCACTGGCTATATGCCACAGGGGACACCTTAGCAGTACCATAAAGGGGCACTCTGTGCACGGCAGCACCTCCATGTGTGGAGACAATAAACGCGCCAGAAAAAAGATTTAGCAGGGTCTCTATGATCTGGATGAGCAGCGACCCACACCTTGAGTCTGGAGGCAAAACTAGACAAGGCACTAAGGGTTAGATTCTCACTTATACTAATGACCTTTACACAACATTGGTAAAATTATGAGGCTATAGTTTTAAAAAAACTGGCCCTCTATCTAGATCTGGATTTTGAAATGACCAAAGTTAGAGCATAATTGAAGCCGAGGTATTGTCATTCTGCTCTTAATAAAAGGTGGCATCTGCAAAATTCAACTCTGGACTGTGGTTTGGATTTGAAACCTTCCCAAAATTCCAACAGTATACAAATCAGTCAAGAATCAAAGGAGTTTAATTTTCACTGAACCTTGGGGTTTCTCACACTATATTGGCTGGGACAAGAACTGCTGCAATACTAAGACAAATGCTGTCCTTGAGGGTATTTATTGCCTGACTTGAAGTGTTCTCAGGAGAACTTCACCAACTTGGCTTAATCAAGGAGTCTGCACAGTTTGCACAAGACCTAGAAAAGCATCTGAATGTTCAGGTACAGATCTAGCTGATCCTTTTTTTTTTACCTCCCACTGCTTTTACAGCTGGCTAAAAATACCTATTTAATCTCTCAATCCACTTTTCTCTCTCCCAAGAATTTTTGCTTTAATATTTCCTCCCTTTCTCCCTCTTTTGTTTGTTTATATCAGTGGATCTCAACCAGGGTTATATATAGCCCTGGGGGTACGCAAAGGTCTTCCAGAGGGTACATCAATTCATTTTGATATTTGCCTAGTTCTACAACAGGCTACATAAAAAGCAGTGGGGAAGTCAGTACAAACTAAAATTTCATACGAAGACTAGTTTATACTGCTCAAGATACTATACACTGGAATGCAAGTACAATATTTATATTCCAGTTGATTTATTTTTAAATTATATGGTAAAAATGAGAAAGTGAGCAATTTTTCAGTAATAGCATACGGGGCCCCTTTGCATTTCATAAGTACGTTGTTTTTAAGTGATGTGAAGCGTGGGGGCATGCAAGACAAATCAGACACCTGAAAGGTACAGTAGTCTGCAAAGTTTCAGAGTCAGTGGTTTAGATTTCAAGAATTTGGAAGCAGAGTTTTGTTTTTCTATGTGACTATGAAAATGTAGCACCCTCTGAAGGCTAAATAAATAATAGCCTTATTAATTATCTCTCACACAGTATGGTTGCATCTACACTGCACCCTTAGCTTGAAATAAGCTATGCAATTTGAGCGACGCAATTGTCAATTATTTCGAGGTAATTTCGAAATAGCTTATTTCGTAATTTTGAAATACACTACTATTCTGAAATGACCCTTAATCCTCATGGAACGAGGCTTACAGGGATGTTGGAATGGCAAGCTGATTATATTTCGAAATAGCGGGCTTGTTTCAAAGATGCGGAATAGCTATTTCGGGATACCGGAAGTATCCCGACAGCGCTGCAGTGTAGTTGTTGCCTATGAGAGTACTAAGATTCAAGATCAGTGCGCATACTACGTAAGCATGTTTGTGAATGTTCTATCAGAAATGTTCCCATCCCCTGTGCAAGCCACACTCAATGCCATCATGTGCTAGTGAATGAGAAACTGAAACATTCTATAAAAATCAGTAAAACAGACTCGTTTATTTTTATTACGAACAATCTACAGCTAATAAACAGCATCTGAGGTGATACTAATAACTAATGTAAGAATGTTTAAATTTTTGAATCTATGATTTTTAACCTGATAATGTTCTTCTAAATCCAACATAAAGAGTCGCTGATGTTATTCCCATCTTAGAGACAGGCAATAAAATATGACCAACTGCAATTTGCTGAACAATGGGGCACCCTTTCTCTCATGCCTCTTCCTCCTCATTTACCCACTCCTATTATCTCAAGCACCTTTTCTTCTGGTGCTTCAAAGAGCAACCATGTTAGACACAGGTGTGTATTTGAATTCTCTGAAACAGCTATGATAAAAGAGGACCAAAAAGGTCAGGAACTGGAAATCCTGAAAGGAACAAGGTGTCCAAATGAGCCTGATGCTAGCAGAAGGAAACATGCCAATATCAGGGAGTATGCTACTTTCCATTTGAAATTGGTCTCCTGGTGATGCTCACATGGCAGCAATGTTTGGAAAATTGCTAGTGGAATCAGTTAAGAGACTGGCGGCTCTTAATACATTTAAAAGGTGGAGCCGCAGTGCCAGAAGCTAACCCTGCTGAGGCTCTGCAGTTTCCCACCCTTATCAGCTAATCGAGTAGTCGATGGAAATTCCATCAACTAGTCGATTAGCTGATTAAATGCCATTTAACATCCGTAGTTTCAGCAGCAGCTCCCACACTAGAAGGAAGACTGACTTCAGATCTATCCTTTGTATCTGTTCCTTACCTATACAAAGTGTCAAACCAAAAAGTCCAAAGTAAAAATGTGAGCTTTGCTGTAGGGGCCCGAATCTAAAACAGACATTATCTAGTTACAAGGAATACAGAGTGCAT